GGGGAGGAGAGGGGAGGAGAGGGTAGGAGATTGGCCAGCCAATTTGCAAGTTCAAGTACTGTGCAAGTACATCGGAGACGAGAACAACAACATAACAACAAAGAAGAAGAAGAGTTCGTAACCGTACAAAGAACGAAACACACTCTGCATTGAGTCTGCAAATTATAATTCAATATTATACTAATTATAGTTATTATTTTTTGTAGTCGAACAGAAAAAAAGCTGTGCTCAGGATGCAGGGAACAATTTGTAATGCAATTTTTGTTTTCGTTTTGTAATGGCCCGTGCAGTTTTCAGTCTGAGAACGGCTCAGAAACCTGCTTTTCGCTGAGAAAGTTTCAGCTTTTGATCTGATTGCTGAGAATTTACGAGTCAGAGCCTATTTTGCTGTGCTTCCAAAGGACGTATATGATCTTTTTTTTTTTTTCCTTTTGAATCAACACCCTCTGTGGTGTCTGGGTTACTGCGCAGTTTGGCACCGTAGCTCGACTTCCGGTTCATCCCTCATCGCCAATTCTGCTTACCAAAAATGGCCCACTTGGAGATTTCTTTGATCCTCGAGGTTCACTTGAGCAACCCAAAAATCTTAAGCACGTATAATATCTGCTGCCGATGTATGTATGCTGTGCACTTGCCTGCTGAGTTTTGCCTTCCTGTCCGAAGCATTGTGCCTCTGTTAGCCATGATGCGTGTCTGCGCAACTCCGAAATCTTAAGCATGTATAAGATCTGCTACATTATGCTGTGCACTTGCCTGCTGAGTTTTGCGTTCCAATCTGTTCGAAACGTTGTTCTCACTCTGTTAGCCACGAGACAGGGACGAGGTAGAGGCAGGGATAGGACCAGGGACACGACGGAAAGTTGGCGGTAGGGATATATTGGGGTTAGAGACCAGCGAGGAACATAAGTAGCATGTGTTAGACGCCTGGTAGGGATTTCCCAGCAAGTCGGGGGTTAGGCTTAGAAGGGTCTGGTAGATGTCCAGTAGGTAATGATGGTCCATGGCCCGAGTGTAGGCCGGCAGAAGTCTAGGTTAGACCACCAGTACACGGCCCCAGCCTTGCTCAAAATGCAACTCGTCGCCTACGAAGATTCCGGGAGGCGCAACCTGCCGGACCACAATGGCTGGCAGGGGCCAGCCAATAAAGAAAGAGAGTGTGCCGCTGGCGGTTCGGAAAACAACTTGACACACAGTAGGGCGCCTCCAGGCCCGGTTGTACAGGTGGTTTCAAGGTCTGTGCGCCGCTGGCGGTTCGGAAAACAACTTGACGGGCAGTAGGGCGACTCCAGGCCCGGCTGTACAGGTGGTTTAAAGGTCGATAGGTAGATATCAGTCTGCAATGGTGCTCATGCCAACCGCAGGAACACCCAGTAGGCCAACTGCACCGAAGGGAGGCCGAGTAGAGGCAGGTAGTGCCCCGTCAAGAGGCGTTGGCCAGAGGGTCAGCATCATTCGGTGCACCGTGGAGTGCACCTCTTATTCACCCGGCAGTCATGCTGCTGCACCGTCCAGAGGGAGAGGTTGGCAGAGCTCCTGGAGGGTGAAGGTTGAACTGGAGGGTGAACGAGAAGACCTCCATGGCTATGGGGTAGTGGTAGGGAGAGGGAGGAGACGCCCTAGGCTGCGGTGGCACGGTGTCGGAGGGCACGGTGTACCGGCCCTCCGCTCCGTACCAGATGTCTGCTCCTTTACCTCCGCTGTATATCAGATGTCCCCTCACTTGTCTCCGCTGCGTACCAGATGTCCGCTCATTTACCTCCGCTGTATATCAGGCGGTCCCCTCACTTATCTCCGCTATGTACCAGGCGTCTGCTCGTATACTTTTGTTATGGATCGTCTGAGGAACCCCGCGGCACTCCGGTCTTGCAGCGGGGCAGGTCCAGTAGACGCACCCACTGGCAAAAGGGTGGGTTGGTGTGCCACTGGACTTTCCTATTGTCCACACAGGCTTGGCGCCCTGCTGCTACAGCAGAGCACAACCGGCCTGTGGCCGTGGTAGCCGCCGGGCTCGCCCAGGGACGCGATGGGAGAGAGAATGGCGTGGTCTTTTCTACTGTGCGCCAAGTGCTCTTTAGGCAGGGTTATAGGATGAGTGCATAGGGTGGGTGGTCATATCAAGTAAGGAGTTAAAGAAAGAAAA